GGAGTCGAAAAAGATTAGGTCAGCACTACCCTGTGAAAGAAGCTGATTTGTACCAGGGGTATCCAAACTTTGGCCGTCCAGCTGTTGTGGAACTACAAGTCCCATGAGACATTGCAAGACTCTGGCCGCCGCAAGCATGACTACCAGAGGCAGATGTATGATAATTGTGGTTTTGCCATAACTGGAGGGCCAAAGTTTGACTACCCCTGGTCTATTCTTACCAGTCCGGAGGCTGGTTTGCAGATCCATCTCACACTTTAGGTTGTGTCTCTTGCTGGCTGCTTTGGTGTGTTGCAACGATCGTTAAGTCGCTACTGTATTTTGCAGTGACAAGGGGTCAGCATGTGGAAGCAGATCAGCCAGTGCTAGGACACGCTTTTTGCCATGCCAGAGGAGTCGAATAGTAGTGAACACATTACCAGTGAATTACGTCAAGGTGGATGTGTGGGGTGTGCTAAACCTTTAATTCATTGGACTTAAAGGAGTGAATGAATTTCTTCTGTGTATATCCGCGCTGGAAAGTTTTAGTAAACAGTCTGACAAGTAAATGTAAACCGGCTTCTTTAACAAGGTAGTGCAGTGCTCTTTATTGCACCCTGGCAGGTTAATGCTGCCCTCTTTATTGCACCCTGGCAGGTTAATGCGGCCCTCTTTATTGCACCCTGGCAGGTTAATGCGGCCCTCTTTATTGCACCCTGGCAGGTTAATGCGGCCCTCTTTATTGCACCCTGGCAGGTTAATGCGGCCCTCTTTATTGCACCCTGGCAGGTTAATGCGGCCCTCTTTATTGCACCCTGGCAGGTTAATGCGGCCCTCTTTATTGCACCCTGGCAGGTTAATGCGGCCCTCTTTATTGCACCCTGGCAGGTTAATGCGGCCCTCTTTATTGCACCCTGGCAGGTTAATGCGGCCCTCTTTATTGCACCCTGGCAGGTTAATGCGGCCCTCTTTATTGCACCCTGGCAGGTTAATGCGGCCCTCTTTATTGCACCCTGGCAGGTTAATGCGGCCCTCTTTATTATCCCCAATGGAGTTGCTTTCAATGATCCTTGCAGAGAGAAATTTGGTGTGTGCCATTGCTAGATGCCTGGCCGTCATGCTGATCCTCCTTTCTTCAGTACTTTGTCACCGAACAGGAACAAGTATGCAGATTTGGAGTTCTGTCTTCTGACACCTCAACTTGCATGTTTTTTTTCTGGGTCAGTGATTTAGAAATGACTGAACCCAGGGACAGCTGGCTGACTAGCCTTTTGGGCACGGCACCAGCAGATGCCTGTATAGTTCACTCAGCACAAGTTTCCTAACAATGCCTAGATACCGCGTCATCAAGCGGAGCTGTTTTACACGCTTCTCTAAAGCAAACGAAATATAAAGGAACTAGAAATAAACAGATGAATGATGCATGAAACCGAGCTGAGAACGTTTCTTCTGTTTTATTAGTTCTTTGCAGTTTGTGAAGGCAGTTCAGTTGAAGACATCCCAGGTTCCCTCTTCTTCTTTCATTTCATTTCATTTTCTATTGTGCTGGAACCCTGGCATTCTGCTGTGGGTATTGCACTATAGCAATTGACCTTTCAGCTCAATATAACATTTCATTTTTAGGTGGGATATTTTTTTTTTTTTTTACTGTTCTTGTGGCATATTAATGCTTGCAACTCTCTGCATATGTTTTGTGACATTTTGCATAGTTTCTCAACTGCACAGTAATTGCGTCCAGCATTTGCAACATTAAAGTGACACTAAGGAGTTGAATCTTAAAAATGTATTCAAGTACCCTAACTGTTTAAACGAGAACTATGAGGTGAGTGCTTTCCACTCACCTCATAGTTCTAGCCGACCTGTGACAATGAGACTGTCGCAGGTCGGCTCAGATCGGGAGGTAAGCGAACACATACCGGCGTTCGCTCACCTCTCGATCTTGTCACGGCTCTCTGCCTTAACAGGTGAGGGGCTGGATTTCCCTCTCCCCACTCCGATCTGCCAGCGCTGACTGGCGGAACAGACAGGGGAGGGGGCGGGTACAGCTGGCTCTGCCTCTGCCACTTACGCAGCTGAGCAGATCCCGACATAATTGTCGGGATCCACTTCAGCTGCGGGGTCTCAGTATACCGCGAGCTACAGCTCGCGGTATACTGAGCTTAGGGTAACGGGAGGACGCTAGTTTGTGTCCTCCAGTTACCCTAAGGAGAACTATGGGGAAAAGCCTTAACCCCATAGTTCTCCTCCCTTTTAACAAAAAAAATTATCTTATTTGTGTAACACTCAGCTGTAGATCCTCAAATCATCTCTGAATTCTTACCGACACTGTCCTTCCTTCTGCAGGATGGCTACTTTTGTTCCCCATGGTCGCTGTGTGTGTTGTAAAGTAGCCACCTCTCCAAGATCACTCCTCTGATGGACTATAGCTTCAATACAAATTAGTAAACAAAACAGGAGATTGTAGTCCATCACAGGAGAGAACTTGGAGCGGTGGCTACGTTACAACACACACGGGGAACAAAAGTAGCTACCCTGCAGAAGGAAGGACAGTGTCAGCTGAGTGATACACAAAGAAGAACATTTTTTGTTAATGGTTAAGGTATTTTAATCTATTTGTAGGTTGTAACGGCTGAGTTAAGTGTCACTTAAAATTAAATACAATGGGGAGAATTTGTGACTAAAACTTTTGTTGCAAACATGTTCATAAACACCAAAATCTCACGCTAACTAAATGCAAAGTTTTATTGCTGTTATGCATATTTTTTGAAGCGCTTGCGTAATTTCTCAGCTGTGCAGTACAGTTCCAAACATCCGACTTACATCCGACTCCTACTTACAGAGGCCATTACTGTATAGCAGGGGGTACCAGGCTGCAGCCAAAGTGTACCGCGCAGCATTTCCGTAGTTGTAATGCTACCTCACTCATGCCGACGTGGAGTGCGCGCCTTTTTGGGTCTGGTTTGTAGTACTGTACGTACATTACAGGAAGTTGGCTCTTGTTAGAAGTGCAGACGAGGGGTGCCCACCTCCTTTTTTTTTTCCCTGTTCACTGTGGGTTTTTACTGCTGTCTGTATTCTTATTCGAACGATTTAATCTCACTTCCTGTCCTTGAGACAACAGGATGTGAGAGGAAATTTACTCCTAGGCAGGGAAATTCACTCCTGTAAGAGTGATCATGGGAAAAAGGTGTCTTCACTGAAGCTTTATCAGCAATCCTTGTTTCCACGACAAACCCAACATTTTCAAAATCCAATTGTCATAGGGACAGAAAGTGAGGTGAAATCTTCTGAACAGGGACACACACAGCAAAACAAATGTTTCAGGGGGCTAACCCTTCCCTATGCTATCCAAAACGGAAAATAAATGCTTGGCTGGAGTTGCACTTAAAAAATGTACCAGTTCCAACTTGCATACAAATTCAACTTGAGAACCAACCTACAGCCACTATCTTGTTCGTAACCCGGGGACTGCCTGTAATTGCATCCAGCAATTGCAATGTTAAAAGACCTCAAACGTTTGCACAGTCTAGAAGTGCTCCTGAGCACTTAGGCCCCTTTCACACAAGCTGATCAGGAGAGGATCAGTCAACAGATCCTCTCCTGATCAGAGTGGCACAGATTAGATGTCACCGCTGTATATCATCTTGCAATGGTGGAAAAAACTGTTTGTGCTGGACCCCATGGAAGTCTATGGGGAATCTGATGTAAACAGGCACGTGTCCATTTATAGCAGATTACCTCCGGTCCCTCAAAACGGATCATTAATCTGTTTTACTGGACCGAGCCGGAGACGCTTGTCCATTTAAACCTGGCTGCCCATAGACTTCCATAGAGCTTCTGATCGGGTCTGGCTGAAAAACTGACAGGCGGACCAGATCAAACCGCTCATGTTAAAGGGGCCATAAAGTAGTGCAAAACAGCTTCATATCTAAGTCAGCTAAGCACTTCTGTCCTCCAGGAGGTTTTCCCCAAGTTTGCATCAATATAGAGACAATTTATGTTTCATTTAGGAATGAAACATAAACTAGGATAATACATCTGTCACTATATGCATTAGAAATCCAGTGATGTGACAGTTTAAAAGACACTGATGATGCAACTAAATGAATAAATGCTCCCCAAAGTGTATAACTTTAAGGCATCATTCACACTGCAATTGGCCGACGCGCACAGCTCCGTGCTGCGTGCAGGGCCGTATCGAGCAGCTACCGGGAAGGACAGTTGCTGCGTGTGATTTTAGTACGCAGCCCCCGTCCATCTCTAAGGGACTACGCACCCGCACGCTCACCCGCCCTGCACGTCCGTGCAGATGCGGGTGAGCGCACTCGTATGCTAACAGGATGGATCTTGTCTGCGTCCGAGCCAGGAAACACGCACCCCTACGGACCTGCATTGTAGGTGGGCTTTCGACCGCGTAGTCCCATAGAGAAGGACGGGGGCTGCGTACGAATCACACCCAGCACCCGTCCTTCCCGTTAACAACTCGATACAGCCCTCCACGCAGCACGGAGCTGTACGTGCCGGCTGATTCCAGTGTGAATGAGGCCTAACAGAGTAGAAAACAAAACTCAGTTGCACTCGGCATAAGTCCTAATTGAGTTTCGAGATGGAGCTTTCACATGTTCCCAATATCATTGTGGTTCAGAGATCAGTGCACCACATTGTTCCTGATAAAACTGACTTGGAATTCCAATTTGGGGTTGTGTACTGAGTTAACATTGACACCTTCAAGTGTTTTATTGTTTGTAATTTCCTATTCATGTTCCATCCCCTAATGACATATGTAAACGTTTATTTTTCAAAGGTGTTTTTGCATGCGTGAACCACCTGTCCTACTCCTCAAATGCGGTGGGATTTAGATATATTAGACTGTTCTTGACTTATTGTTCACGTGGCAGGTTGTTTGTTTTTTTTTTTATTGTAAAATTTGCGTAGTAGATTTGTTCAGTAACTAATGAAGCGTAAACTGATGTAGAAACAAAACTGAAACACTTCTGTTTTTCCCTCCCTTGGCTTTTCAGGTGGCGACAGACAAGGTTGCAGATAAATTGAGTTCTACTCTCTCATGGGTAAAGAACACCGTGTCACAAACTGTCAGTCAAATGGCAAGTCAGGTGGCGAGTCCATCAGCCTCGTTACACACTACATCGTCCTCGACCACTTTATCTACTCCAGCACTTTCGCCGTCTTCCCCGGTACAGTTGAGTCCAGATGAGCTTGAATTGCTGGCCAAATTAGAGGAGCAAAACCGGTAAGCAGCTTCAGTAAAATCAATTGCTGTTTTTCTGCATGGTTTCCATTTAAATGATTAGCTGTAAATACACAAAGTGGATCAATATGTGATCATAGTTTGCTGGTTAAAGGGGCTGGACAATGGCCCACTATAGTTTTACAGCTTATCTAAATCTTTGAAAAAAATTGTGATATATTCCAGTTTTTGGTTGTGGTGGCGGCATTGGTTTTCTTTTTTTAAGATGTTTTTTATTTTCTGTCAATGGGTGACGATGCTTGCTCAAAGTACTACATCTGTGGAGAAACAGCGTTGGCACCCTTGGACTGGTAATATGTTAGGACTACAGGACACCATCCTACTCCTCGCCTCTATATTGTAGTTCATAGAAGTAATCTGGTCAGGAAAATAAGGCTGCTTGAGATCAGACCTGAGAAGGCGCTGGGTTTCTGGCAGGGTCAGAAGGTTTTCTTTCACTTTATAAACCGATATAAAAAATGTTTTCCCAAAGGGGAGCAATAAGCTAAGTTTTTTAATGTTGGGATTAAATACACTTTAACTATTTGATTTTGACAAGAAATTTTGTTTTATAAGGCACAATCAAAAGGAATAGTTATAGTGTTTCTCAACCTTTGTTTAGTAATTGCACAATCTCGAGACACCCCAGTCTAAAATGTAATAGATTTTAGGAGGTACCCCACACAAAACCACGGTTCCCCCTTGAAATCAGAATACCCTTTTACAGCAGGATCACCTTCACATCAGAGTCCTCCCTTTACATTAGGGTACCCCTTTCATATCGGAGGCCCTCCTTTTCACATCCAAGTTCCTCCTTCACGTCAGAAGCTCCCTTCACATCAGTCCTCATTCCCCACTTCATATCAGAATCCTAACAGCACAACATTTCGAGGTGCCCCTGAGGAAGCCAGAAGGCACTCCAGTGTGGTACAGCACTCTTGTTGAGAAGGGCTGCTCTAATCTAAACAAAATGAAAGCTGGCCACACATGTATCAAGGGCTTACAGTTTAAAAGCTATACATTGAATGAATGGGTTATAGGACGATTTTTCATCTACCGGTAGTTAAAAGGACTTGTACAGCAGTCACTTTTTTGTGTACAAACAGCCAACTAATAAAATGGCAGATATCAAACAAATTGATTTTCCGTTGTGATAGCGACTCATTATTGGTAGACCAGCACTAAAGTGTAGGGTTAAATCTTGGCAAGTTTGTATTACTGTATATCCCTACTATGAAGATTCCCCCCTCTATTTGTCCTTGTGGCCTCTGCTTTAGAGACAGAAACTAAAGGGAGTGTTCGGGAGAAATCCTCCAATGGTGTTCCCACTCCTGTTAGAACTGTTTAAGATGGGAATTCCATTTTAGTTTGGAGACCTTTCCACTCGTTTTCTGTTGCATCTCTAGGACAGGAAGTGAAGGAAATTTCCCTAGCTGATAATACAGCTATAAATATTTTGATGGTGGTTTAACTTTTTTTAATTTATCATTTTTTTTTTTTTTGTATTTTATAATTTAGTGAAAGATGTTGTCAGTGTGAATGATTGTTCAGAGTGATGGCCAGTGCAAGTGCTGTAACATCTGTTTATAACTAGAACATGTGATCGGCGCAGCAAACTGCGATCAATTTAAACCTTTGAGTGTTGTTAAAAGAGAACTAAAGTGAAATTTTTTTTTCTTCGGGGGGCTTTAGTCCTTTTTTGGGTCAAAGTACATTGGCTAATGTGATACTGTAACCCAAAGATGGTATCTAGAGGGTTACTGCCCACTGTATGCTGACAGTACAGAGCCACGCTGTAGCTGGGAAGGATCTTGACAGTATTGTCGAGATCCACCCCGCTGCCTGATAGCTGATTCTGGCTCTCTAGAGCCAGAACCAGCTGTGCCCGCCCCCTCCACTTTCTGTCTCTCTAATGAGGGCTGAAGGAACAGGGAGGGGGGGGGGGAATCCCTGCGTCAAGTGGTGACTGACCGTGATTACTCTCTGCACGAGAAGACCGTAAGCGAAGTGATAGTCGGTTTGGGATCACTCAGTTCTTGAGATATTGAGCCAGCATGAGACCTCTACGGTGCCACACGCCTGCTCTCATTTAAGGTTTTATCACCTGTATCTTGTCTTTGCATTTCATCGGGTCTGATGAAAAATTGTCCTTTCATCAGGTCAGATGAAAAATTGTCCTCTATGGCGTTTTGCTCCTGCATAGAGGACGTTACAAGAAAATCCTCATCCCAGCACGTAGTGGAATTTCATTTTCTTTTTTGTCCTCCTGTTGTTTTTATTATCCTAATTTTTATTCCTTTGATGTCTGGTTAAACCCATAAAGGGCAGTCGTTTTCAGACCCATTGGCACAAGCACAATGGAAAGAACGTGGTATGTAGCCATTGTGATTATGTTCTTACCAATGTGAAGTATTAAAGCTTCTAGAGCAAGAGCTTCTGTGAAACCTGTTTTGAAATTGTAATTACATGTTGACAGAATGAGTTCAGCTTACTTGAGGTTTTATCCCTGTGCTTATTTATGTATTTTTAAAATGATGTTCAGTGTTTTGGCATCAAAGAAATCCTGGTGATTTCTGTTCCCTTTGTGTCTGAGGTGTAATATTACTTTGAATCCATTTTCCATTTCCTGTCATTATTTGAGGCTTTACAGTGAATAACAGTTTGTTTATATCATGTGATGGCAGTTATTGCTTACTGATGAGTTATAGGAAATATACTGGATAACTAGGAAGTTTTGGTTTTGGCCGTTATTTATCTAATGTGCAACCAGTTTTAGAAAAATCACATAAATAAGCAGGGCATATGCAAAAACAACACATTTTAATTTGAGTTAAAAAAAAAAGGACCTTTTCATGTCTTAACCCCTTCATGACTGAGGCCCTTTTCATTTTTTGCACCCATGTTATATTCCACATTTTAGGCCTGAAAATGACGTAAAACCACCCAACATAATATATTTTCTGAATGCCAAGACCCTATAGAATAAAATGGTGGTAGTTGAAAATTTTTATGTTGCGAAATATTAGCGCAACTCCTTATTAAACCCCAAAATGTAGTGACAACCATTATCCTAAAAACGACGACAGAGGCACTTTTAGAAATTATTAAAGGCTTATTAAACCCTCAGTGTTTTTGGCATTTATCTACTGCTAGCAAGTAGATATATGCAAAAACAACCTTTTCAAACAGGTTAAAACTTACCTGTGTCTTTGCTGCACACTCCCGTCCGAACATCTGAAGAGTCTCGGGCGGCTGCAAAGGATCTTGGGGTGGCGAATGCGCAGTTCAGATGTTCGGCTGGGAGACGAGGAGAGACACAAGGTAAGTCTATGGAGCAGCGTGCACCCGCACAGACTCCGTGGGACAGGAAGTGCCAGCTAGCACAGAGGAGCCGGCGCTGGATCAGAGACCGGCACCAGCACTGGAGGGACAGCTGATTGCAGGCTTTTGTATTCTTGGCATAACTTTATTTTTCTTCCCCACTCTCTTTATTAAGGGCAGATTAATCCATCTCACTTACTTCCATGAACTCTGGCACATGTGATTAGGACATGTGCACATCATCCCAGAGGGGAAAAAAAATAAATTTCCTTGTGATCTCACAAGCTTTTGCATTTTATAGAAGGGAGTTCCCAGCAATGCAGTGTGATGTAACTTTCACACAACCTTCTCTTAGGCCTAGGCTACAACTCTAATGCCCAAAAGTACCAGGAAGTGGAAAAACGGTAATTGTAAGGAAAAGAAATAGTGAATCCAAAATAATTTTATATCGGCATACAGAGCTACATGCTGATGGGATTTTTAGTGAAAGGGGTCCACATTAAATGGAAGATGTGAGGAAACCTTTGCTGTCCCCATAGAAAGAAAGACAGACTAGGGACACACTGAGCTTCATCATATTAATATACAAAGCTTCTAGAACTTTGTCAGGATAGACTGTGTTTAAATCTAGTTTACAACTAATGAGATCTGCCAGCACAGTACAGATGGGGTTCATTATTGTGAACATTAACGTCCTCAGCCCTCTTGCATTCCAGAGGAAAATTTTTGTTCTTTCAGAATTGAGCATGTAATATTTTTAATTTCCTGAGCACTAGGGATGAACTGATACCGGTATTCTGGTACCGAGAACCGATAATTTTTTTTCGGTACTCGCTGATACCAATTATCGAGTAACGGAAGTCCCATTCAGGAAGCCAGGTGGCATGTAATGACTCCCCACCTGGCTTCCTGATTAGCCGGGAAGCCAGGCAGTGTGTAAAGACTCGCCACCCGGCTTCCCGATTTAACAAGAAAGTCCCCTCTTACCTTAGTATGTGCCGCCTGTCACCCCCGGGGCCTCTCCAGGGGGAACGCGGCCTTCCTCCGGAGCCGCCTGGCCGGCCAATCAGGAAGCCGGGCGCCGTGTAATGATGCGACGCCCTGCTTTCTGATTGGCCAGGAGGCCTGCTCCATGCTCTCTCGTCATGAGATGTGTAATGACGCGCTCCCCGGCTTCCTGATACCGGAAGTACTCGTGCTAGGCATCGGAGCATTTGGGCGAGTACTAGTACTTGCCCAAATACTTGGAATCGGCACCGATATCGATGCTAGTATCAGTATCGGTGCATCCCTACTGAGCACTGTTTCAGAACACTTGCAGGGTTATTCACAAAAAGGTGAATGGTTTGGAGAAGGCAGGAGAAGTGAACAAACAAAATAGCTGAAAAATTCTCCAATTCAACTCGCTTTCCAGTTCAGCTATGTTGTCCTAGATTGTTCACTTCTGTCTTCTCCACTCTTCACCCTTTTGTGAATAACCCTGTGAATCTTGCTCGGTTTGCTCTGCTTTGCTGGCCTAAAACATTTGTCACTTCTCAGGCCAACACTGCTGTGGTGGTTATCTATGGGAATAATAATCACTACTGCAGTGTTTCCTAATTTATCGGAATAGTGCCCTCTGTCTGACCATAAAGAAAAGCTGTTGGCTGGTAAGTGCCTTGTCTGCCGACACAGAGATGATA